AAAGAAGAGATATATATTCTTTTTTTTTGCACGCATCATTCTTCCGAAAAATCACACACATTTTTTTTTGGAGGAAACCGGAAATTCCGTTCCATTAACGATTTGATTTTCTCACAGTATCATTACATTTCCGATTGAAAAATAAATTTGGAAATTTTATATTAAATCAAATAATTTGTAAAATAAAAATGTAATTACGAAAGAAATAAACAATTTAATATATGAGAAATGTACTAGGTTCCCACACAAATTCCATCTAATGAGGTACTTTTTACTAGTGCTGAAGAGGACAATAAAATTTTGCCCAAGGAATATGTATGGAACATATACTGGTAATTAAACTAATTAAACAACGCAAAAAGTGATTAAAGTGATGTAACAGTTCCGTTAAAGTTTCAAAATTGTATATTACATATTAATAGAATATAAATTTACTTAAATCTCGCTTAACGACTTTAATTCGTTCCAAAATTTTCCGATTTTTACTCGTATAGTGAAACATATTCAAAAATATACATAATATGTGCACACAAGTTTTACAAATGATGTAGAAGGCGTGCAATCCGGGATTTCTCTTCTCATCATCACTCGTTAAGAGAGTAATTTTTCTTACAATTAATTTTGCTCGTTAAGCGAGGTTTCACTGTATTATTAAGTGATTAAAAGTATTTATTTATAAAAATAACTTCTTATACTAATATTACATAATTTCCAATAGTTATTATAGATTAATGAAAATGCATGTGTTGTTTATTTTGTATGTAGCAATTGAGAAACGGTTAATATCCAAAGTACGTATAATAAATTATTAATATTTATTGTATAAATCTAATGATTATTAAAGACTTTACTAACATAATTCTAAATGATATGCGCAACCTTCCTTATAGCGAGATAGAGGTAACATAAAATCGTATAATTCTACATATTTCTTTACTTTGTACACATTATGCAAGTGGATTCTTATAGAAATGTGACGCAATAAATTCTAGATTTTCTCAATAACACTATTCCATATAATTATTGATAATATTAAAGAATTTTAAATAACTAACATAAATTATGTTAATATACAATTATAAATTATTAAATATAACTTTTATTATAAATTTTACTATAGAAAATTTGTATGTTCAATAAATAAAGTTTTTTATTTTTATATAAATTCCCAAAATTTTTGTTATTTCAAAACAAAAACATGTTTTGTATTAATGCTTTTGTAAATTTATGATGATGTAAGTAGTAGTTATTTCTAGTAAATCAATGTTGAATTGTCGATCGAAGGGATTAATTTTAATTGCAAATATTTATTGGAGGCTTCACAACTCGGAGGACGTGTATATGCGAGAAGTTATTGGAATTAATGTTGTAATATAAGGGAATCCAGTGTTGCGAGGCCATCTGTTGCGCTATTTTTCGCATAAAAGGCAACACAATGAGTGGAAAGATGTATAATTTAGCATATGCTAGCATTATCATTACCGCCTCACGAGCCCCTGCCGTGCTCTTGACATATTGCAAACCTTGGCAATGCTCTCATCCATCCTATTACCAACAATCGATGGTTGCAGGATGTAGATGCGAATGAATGTTCTAGCGAATACCTGCAACAACAAATAAAAGGCCGTACACAACTATATTTTGCAAATCACTATTATTTTATTTGGTTATCATGAACATGTTCAGATGGGTCGACGGGACGTTCGGAAGGCGTTAAAAAAATCCCAAATTTGAAAAAATGCAAATGACGCAATGGAGCTGCATATGTAATCAGGGCTCATGGGAACGCAACGAAAACGCGTGACCGAAATTTCAAGCATCCACCAAAACACAGTCACGACCTGAAAGCTTTGAAAACGTTCCCTGCGTTTATTTGCCTTTTTTTTTAAACATCGGGGTATGTTTGTGTTCTTTTAATAATTATGTTTTCTTGGACACAGTATAAACGAAAGTGATGGAAAGGAACAACGGGGCAGTAAAGTGTGGAAGTCGGGTTTGGTTGCTTGCTCGGTTGGTTGAAATGCTGCAATTTCGGGGCGACTGTGACCAATGGACCTCCGAAACCGAGAGTTACAGCCCATAAATACATCAAAATATTTCGTTGGAAAATACTTTTCTTTTCATGCGCCTCGTCGTAAAACACAATTACTTAATTTGCGTACAGTTTACATAATATTGCGTTTCGCAAAATTGCGTCTGGAATGTTTTTACCAGAAGACGTACCATTTCGGTACGTTTGGGTAGATTAGAGCGCTTTTATATTGCATAGGATACAATCGTTTCAGAGGTCAGTTTTCTGACTTACATTTTCTTTGGGATACTAAGCGCCATATTTTTTATATTCTTCATTTACAACAGTTTAAATCTGCCTGTCCTGCACCATTTAATACGACTACCATAAATGTTTACTCTGATATGGAATTACAGGTAAAACGAAAAAGAACATTTTTTGCATTGTATATTTTTTTAGATAAATGTAACTTTTACCCCATTTTTGGAGTAATTTACTCCTGATGGATGCACCTGCTCTACGGAATACTATTTTCCTAATTTCTGAAATAATATTTGATTGTATTATCTAATTATTAAGAATTTGCAGTTTTATTGTTATAGTAATACATTTGTATTGTATAATAGTATTTGGTATAGGTCAAGAAGTTTACAGTTTCCCTTTTCATTCAGTTTCGATAAAATACAGCTAACTAGATTTCACACCACTGACATATACACCTATATCGTTATAATACTGTATGTATGTATATATATACGTGTGTACCGTTTTTGGTCTCCTCTAGCGGTTTTCTTTTAACATTTGACTCGCATTAAATACGCATTCATTTCATTTCACTTACGTTCGCAACGAAAGCGATATTTCTGAACGTCTCATCTTCGGACATCTACAATATAATTATGCTGCCCACATAAGGAAACTAGTTTGCCTATTTGTGAACTATACAGAAATATATACAAAAAATAACAACACAGTCAAACATTTTAAATATTTTTAATATAGATCGTTGTTTTAATAAGTAAATAGCTAAAATACCTAGAAAAATGGTACATTTTCAATAAAATACATAGACAGATATAGTAAAAGGTTGGTGGTTTTGTCTCCATTTCTTTGAAACTTCAACTGAATCAATTTGTCGGGAATATTTATTTCAAAAACAATTTTAAAATATTTCAAACTTTTTTTTTAATAATAAAAATTAAAAAATATATATATGTTTTGAAATATACGTAAATAAAAAATGTATAATTTATTACTTGTACGTTTATATTTGAAAGCGGATCCGTAAAAGCTAAATGGATTTATGATATTTGCTATAATTCCTTAGAAAGAACTACTTTATATGTACTTATATGTCGAGTGGTCTATAAAAGCATGTTTGCTTAGGATGCACGGTGGTCTTAAGCTTGGTAAATAAGGCCACAACTTAAGCTTTTAATACAATATTATTATAACGATTACATATAAAAAGAAAAGTAACATTAAATTTCAACATGAAAGGGGAAACATGTATGCTGATGTATAATATTCCAGCATTACGAAGTTTATTATTCCCAGCATACTAATACAAATATTAAATATAAATCTTGAAAAAAAAAAGAATAATCAATAGTGTCTTATAAAAAAATGTAAACTTTTTTATTAGTAGATAAATATTAGCATGTATTCAATCTATCAATATTTATGGTTAGACTTTCCAGTCACATGTATGTGACGCGGGTCCTAATTATCGTTTGCTAATTAAAAATGATTATTAACTCACTTTGGTTACTATTAAATAACAGTTAGTAATGAATCTATTTAATTTTTTAATTTATATAGTAGTTAAATAACAATAGGTATTATTGGTTTATTTTTCTTCCTGGATAAATGTTCTAATCTCGAGAGGTTGAAAGTAACAATTGAATTATGTTCCAATTCCAAAAGCAATTCAGTATATACAGTAGATATGCAGTGTTTTTTTTTCTCTTCTTCTACTTCTTCCTTCAATTCAATTTCTCTGTCGGTGTTTTGTGTTTAGGTATGTTATTGTGTTTCCGTTATAATCGTATCTGTGACTGATATTGCTGCGCGACTTATTTCTTTTCTTTTGTTATGGTCGAAATTGAAATAATCTATAAGCGAATTGTATATAATGAATGTCGTGTCCGTCGAAAGAGCGAATATATTTATGAAATCATGTATGATGTATGCGCGTCACAGCAGGATTGCGTTGGCATTCAGCAGTAGAGTATAAGGTCAATGACTGTATGTTACCTGGACACCGAGTTCCCTCCTGCTGTATTCATCGGCCGTCGTCATCCTGCGAACGAACAGCTCGATTATATCATGTCTATATGAATGTATGTGTGTATACGAATGTGGAAGGATGATGGTGGTGGTTGTATGGTGTGCCTCCTTTTACACGGTACCCGATTTAGCAAAAACGCACGCCTCCTGTATACTGCCTATGTTCGTTCCCGTGTCTTTCCATGTGTATACGTTTTCATGTATGCATGTGTGTGTTTCACAACAATGGAACTCTACCAAGGTCATAAACTTGGTGCGAACCGCCATTGTTCGTGTAATCGAGGTCAACAATTCGCGAAATGTTTTTTTTTCTTACTGCTGCCACGTTGGAGCCCAATTCCAATGCACTTGACACAATCACCAATTGATTACAGAAGTAGCCAATCGTCCCCCAGTGAACGAGATCTAGGCATTACGATTCCTCAGACATCTTCAGCGAGGAATGCATTCGCGTCGCCTAACTAGCGATTTCCTATTAAGGGATGTTCGGGATCTTCTTCAATAATGCAGACATTCCGAGATTGCAGCTACTTTAATGACGGACTGAATAACCAGATGTCTACTCCCACAATCCTTTTGTTTTTTCGCAGTATGTACGACCCAATTATATGTAATACCCGATCATTAAGAAAACCGCGCAAATATAAAAGGCCTCGTGCACTTGAGACGCCCTCCAGTATTATTATTAATCCGCTACGAGATGGAGTTCGAAGACAACGACTTCTTCGCCACGAACATTAAGATAATTAAGCTGAGCGGAGTTTGGGTGGGCAGCGAGAGGGATCATCCTTTCCTTCGGGGTCTCTACAAGCTCTACAACATCGTCATTGTCATTTACTTCGTGTTCCTCTTTACGCCTTTCGAGTTTATGGTACTTAACGAAACCGTATCCAGCTTGCCGGATCTAATGAAGAACCTGAACATGGGAATGACACATGCTCTGGCTACGATCAAAGTCTACATATGGTTTTCGAAGCGTACCACAATCCTGAACATATGTAACACGCTCAGCAGGAATACTAAGGCTGAGAAAATCGGGGATTTCGATCCAGAGAAAATTACCAGGGAGGATAAAGTCGTCAAGCAAATGGCGACGCTGGGGTTCTTTTCGGTCGCCTGTTGCGTGGGCAGCTCATCTATGCTCTCCTCGTTTTATACTCTCATGTTCCATTCTGAGGATGAATACATTTATGTTACTGATGAAAATAATGTCACTACCTACATCTATGATCAGCAGTTGCCTTATTCTAGTTACATACCTTGGGACCATAAGAAAAATATATTCAACTTTTCTTGTGCCACGGCTTTCCAATGCATTGCTGTACTATATTCTGCTTTTATTATTGTTGGTAAGATTATAGATTTTTGAAAATTAAAACACTTTAAAAATCGCAGGCACAAAACATATATTTTATATAATATCTACATCATATTAACGCAAGAGTCAAAGCATTACTTTTAGCTCATTAAATAATCAATAATAACGTAATTTTTGTTAGATAATTTCAAGAAATATCTTCAACATTATAGTTGTATTCAATTGCATTTTTAAAATTCTACAATTTGATCTATAATTTCCTTTTTTGTATTATAAGTACATGAAGGTTGGTGGAATAGTTTTGATTGATAAATCTTTGATGCATATTATTTACGATGAATCACAGTTTATTTGAACGTTTAAACAATACTCATTGGGCCATGAGAAGAGGGAGTTTTGAACACTAGAGAGTCATAACAATTTGGTTTGTATCACACCAGTTTAGACTCACTGGTTTAGAAAATATAACAAGATACATATTAAATGATTTCAACGGGTTATAGGACTTTTCATCAATTGATTTATTTAAATTAGTGATAAATAAGAGATTTAATTTTCAAATATGAAAATTGAATGCAATTATAATCGGATTTGTTGCATTACCATTCGATTTCATAGGAAAATTATTTAAATGATATTATTTACTTAGGGCAGCTGTGATTTATCCCACATTTCCTGCGACTAGCGTGTACAGAATTGCAGATTTAATAGTCGATCATTAGATTTCCGCAATTAAAATGTGGTCGTATAAATACGAATTAACATGAGACGGTCGAGTCCAGTGCGCACGAAAGAAACCGTAAAAAATGGTCTTCGGGGACGATTTCTTCGATACGAACATACGGATTATCAAAGCCGGAGGACTATGGGTTCCCGACGACAACGAAAACACCTTCGTGAAATTGTTACACAAAATTCACACGACCGTAGTTGTCACCTATCTGGTATTTCTGTTTACACCAGCCGAGTTCATAATAATGTACGAGACCGCAGCCAGTTTAGAAGATCTAATGAAAAACATGAACATGGCAATGACACACGCATTATCCTGCGTCAAAGTTTACATTTGGTTCACACAGCGTAAAACCATCCTTCATATAATTGATACGTTAAGCAAGAACACGAATGTCGAAAAGATCGGCGACTTCGATCCGGCGAAACTCTTGGCCGAAGATAAAAAGGTCAAGCAGTTCGCCACCATCGGATTCCTCTCGGTTGCAGTCTGCGTGGGAAGTTCATCTTTTATCAGTACATTTTATACCCTGTTCTTTGATTACGAACGCGAGTACGTCGAGATTGTAGATGCGATGAACGTAACATCGTTGATTTACAATCAAAAGTTGCCCTACTACAGTTGGCTTCCATGGGATGCAAAAAAGTCTCGGTTAAATTACGCGGCTGCAGCTATTTTTCAAAACGGCGCTGTTTTATGTTCCGCTTTCATTATAGTCGGTGAGATAAATTAGAATTGAGTAAACATTTCATTACATAATTATTATAAATTTACCATTATCAATAATTATTTTTTTTTGTTGCAGGATTCGATACTCTATTCACTGGAATTGTGGGATACACGAGTTGCCAGATTAAGATTCTGCAGGGAGCTTTCAGGACGGTCCGAGAAAGAGTTCTGCGGAAGATGAACGTGCCAAACGTGCCTTTGGTTAAGGACCCGCCTGAAATTGAAGCTGAGATTATGAAGGAGCTGAAGAGTTGCATGAGATCGCTTCAAGTAATATTCAAGTACGGTCGTTACTTTAAAATGCTGGAATCTTTTGTGTACGAACGCTTTGCATAATTTCAGTATGTGCGAAAAGCTGGAGTCTATTTTCACTTACATCACCTTGGGTCAGGTTCTCATCTCGCTCGTCGTGTTTTGTACATGCTTGTACCTAACATCAACAGTAAGAGAACTTTATCTGATTCTATATGATTATATTTACAAAACACTTACATTGTAGCTCAGCTTGTCGGATCCCAAGTTTTTCGTAGAATTTATTTATTTGGTTGCAGTCGAAATTCAAATATACATTTACTGTTATTTCGGTAATAAAGTCACTTTAAGGGTAAGTTATTCAACTTATTTATCATTACTTTGTCATATATTATTTGAAATATTTGATTTTCTTAGAATATATTTAAAACTCTTATTTTTTTATTAAATTTATAGTTTCAATTTAATTATAAAAAGTGTCTGATTAGAAGATGATGATTACATTTGCACGTGACTTATTAAACAGGAAAATGTTATATAGAAGAAATGTAATTTCCTTTACAATCAGGTATTTCCAATTCAAGAAATGCGCGTGATTTTAAATGATGATTCAGTGGAATTAAAAAAATAATTTAAAAGCAATATTGTGAAATAATTTTACTCAACTTAAGTCATATTTAATTTTTAATAGTATAAAATATGGATGTTATTTAGGGAGAAGATGTACCATTGTCAATATATGAAAGCGATTGGTTCGCATTAAGCGAGGATTACAAACGGAGTATGCTGATAACGATGACGCGGATGAGGAAACCCATTTATTTGACTATAGGCAAATTCTCGCCGCTGACTTTATCAACGTTCGTAACGGTAAACTATTAATAATTGCTGATTTCAGCTCGTTAACATGGATGACTAACGACTACGACTTTTGCAGATCGGCCGTGCATCTTATTCCTTCTTCGCCGTGCTGAAAAATTCGAATTAGTTTCTCGCAACTCGCAAGTACAAGTTCAAGTCTCGAACTTGTGCCAGACTGTCACGGTCAGGACACCGTCGGGCGATTACGCCGCAAAGCCACGGATTGCGGAAGTGCACACGTCAAATGGCCGTTTCTACTTATGTTATTCCTCTCTAATGACAGTTTACCTGTAACCACAAATATACTAAATTACGAACGTCAATGCACTCGGCCTTTTTCCACGTTTTACTCTCTTTCTCTCTATAGTTCCTCGTTTCTTTTCCTTTTCTCCTCTTTCGTAATATGCATAAAACCTAAAGTAACTGTTTTTTTTTCTTCTTTTCTTCTGATTTCCATTATTTCAAGCACGCTACTAGCATATGCATAGAGGGTGAAATTGCGTTTTCAATGCACACGATTTGATCGCTCTAGTGTCTCAAAAAAAAACAAGAGGAACTTAGTAATAAAGTATTTTCTACTTGATGCTGAGCGACGAGCTTTTTGTTTTTTCTTGTGTTGTTGTGTTTTTTTTCCTCTTCATCTCGAATGACCCAAATTGGGAGAGCAAACGAGTTGTGTTAGACAGGAAACCGTGCGAGTGCGAAAGAGGGTTTTCTCATGGTTGTTTCCTTAGTGCATTTAGACTACTTCTATTAAGGAGGCTCACGGAGCTGAGCTCCCACCTGTGCCTTTTTCCCACACCCCAGGACAGACAGCTGACATAACCCTTCATCCTCACCCCCACAATCTCGGCCACTCATGATTTAATCAAAGGATAAATGGATACAACCGTGTTTGCATCATTAATAATTCATCATCGAGATTGACTTTAATTAATTTTCCTAAATAGAATCCAAATGTTTATTTAATTACTTTTCAGCATTTTCACAAAAAAAAAAGTACATTATAAACATCAATAAATAATATTGATTGATAACATGCTTTTATGGCTAAATAAATATATTTATTAATGATTCTAAGAACGTCAATTCTGTGTTTTAGAATCTAGAAATATTCTTTTAAAAAGCAAATTGGATCTCTTATACGATAAATCACAACTAACAAGAAGAAATAAATCTAAATTTAAACAATTGAAGCTACCTGAAAAAGATTGAAGCCTTTCAGTTGAAAGAGCGTACCTTCAGGAAATATAAAGATAACATTGATAAGTATATAATCATACCAATAAGTTATCTGTTAGAATTTATCTTAACAATTCTCAAAATATTATAATGTATATCACTCGTAACTGTAAAATGAAATCGAAAATATATTACATTCATTCTCAATAATTTTTTTTAATTAATTGTGTTTTTTTTTTTTAGAATTCAGTATTTATTATAATAACAAGATGTTGGATAAATTGTAAAAGGAATTTTCGAAATACAATTTCGCAATTCTTTAGTACCAACTCTTCTACCTGCTGGTATTAGAAATTAGGCCAAAAACTTATTTTACCTGAGAAAAAGAAGGGAAAAAAAGTGCGCTATTTTGCGGTCTCAAGAGAAAAAGTGAAAGGGTTTCCATGGGCTATTGTTGGCCCTAGTGTGGGAAACGTCTACATATGGCATCCGGAGTTCGCATCGAGACATTTAAATTAATCTTAGTCTCGCAGACTCACTCCTTTTCAAGCATATGGCGGAGACCGAACAAAACAATGTTTGTGTATTTCTGTAATGTTCGGAATAGTACAAGCAATCACACCTGGACCGATGAAATATAAATAATATTAAGTAATTGAGGCGAAAGGAAATTGGGGTGCCAACTGTTTCAGGTCACATTAAAGACTATAAAAGTACGAAGCGAACAGGCGAAATAAATCAGTGAGTCTGAAATGTCGGCACAATCATTAAACAATGATTTCTTCCGAACGAACATGCGGATCATTAAGTGGAGCGGTGTATGGATACCGGATGAATCGGCTCATCCGGTTGTGAAATTTTGGTATTTAATATTCGACACGTTAATTATGATTTACTTCTGCGTTCTGTTCACCCCGGGCGAGTTTGTTGTACTCCCAGAGACAGTCAAGAGTTTTCCTGATTTAATGAAGAACCTGAATATGGGCATGACCCATTTCCTGGCGATCATCAAGATTTACACGTGGTTCTCAAAAAGGAAAGAGATCTTGGGCATCATAGATACGCTCAGCAAGAACACCGTGGCGGAGAAGATAGGAGAATTCGATCCTGATAAGATCATCAGAGAGGATAGGAAAACGAAGCAAATTGCGACTTTGGCATTCTTTTCTGTCGCCTGTTGCGTGGGCAGCTCTTCCTGTTTGAATTCTCTGTACATTGTGCTCTTCAACTCGGAGAATCAATTCGCCACCGAAATCGATGCGTTCAATAGAACTACAGTTTATTACAACCAGAAATTGCCTTACTACAGTTGGATTCCATGGGATCACAGAGCTTCGAGGTTTAATTTTGCATGCGCGGCTGTCTTCCAAAGCATGGCTGTTGTTAATTCCGCTTTCATAATAGTCGGTTCGTAGAGAACGTTACCCAATTTACATTCGTTTCTTTTTTTCGAGCACGGTAATTGCAGGTTTCGATACCCTTTTCACGGCGATCATTGGCTACACCAGTTGCCAAATTAAAATCCTGCAAGGTGCGTTCAGGACCATTAGACCACGAATCTTAAGAAAACTCGAACTTCCCGATTTACCTACCTTAAAAAACTCACCGGAAGTCGAAGCTGAGATGATGAAGGAGATGAACATATGCGTAAAATCGCTTCAAGTCATTTTTCAGTAACCCATTATAAAATCCCTTTTTTTTCATCTAATTATTATGTTATTCATTTCTAGGATGTGTGAGAAACTAGAGACTATTTTCACTTACATTACTTTAGGTCAAGTTCTTATTTCTCTCGTAGTCTTTTGTACATGCCTGTACTTAACTTCGTCGGTACGTTTTTATATCATTTTATTTCAACAATATTTAAATTTGAAGTCGTCATATCAAATTACATAAATAATTATTTTTTTGCAGATTCCAATGAACGACGGAAAGTTTCTAGTGGAATTAATATATTTGCTTGCCATAGAGATACAGATTTATATTTATTGTTATTTTGGCAACAAAGTAACCTTAAGGGTAAGATTTATCAATTTCTAAACTTTATTGAAAAAAATAAATAAATCCAATACATCATATTTTTGTATCAGGGTGAAGACATTTCAATGTCTTTGTATGAGGGTGATTGGTTACAATCCAGTGCTCCTTTTAAAAGCAGCATGATGATCACAATGGCAAGGATGCGTAGGCCAATCCATTTGACCATTGGGAAGTTTACTCCATTGACCATATCGACATTCGTAACGGTAAGACCTATTACATACATTAATTTTATTACCATAACAAGAAGAACATTACATAATTATTATTTATTCAGTTTTGACAAGATGTGTAAAAAAATCTTAGTTGTGAGTATAAATAGTTAACTTGTTCTCAAATAAGGGGAGTCAATTTACACCTAGTAAAGCTTTTTTAAATTCGTTACTTGCGTCTACAAGAATGGTTAAACTCCATAAAAATGTAGATGCAAATTTCTAGAACAACCAAAGATTGCGTCACTCGACGTTATTTGAGTAAAGAAAAATGAATTTCAATTAGAATAAATGTAAATTCCGCTGAACGAATTTGTGATTTATATTCGTTTTGGTCATTGTAGTAATGAAATGAAAGCAATTATAAAGTCATGCAGCCGTTTAATACCATTCTATTTCATACGAATTATGTTCGTAGCGAAACATTTATAATAATTATTATTAAATCTGCCGGTTTACGGTCTACCGTAAAGTTGATTAAATGAATTCACTGCAATAATATGCACGAAATATACTTATTTCGCGCAAATTAACTTTAAACGCTAGTTTCAGACGTGAGATCTTATAATGCCTTTTATTATTATTTGCCATTCCAGTTTTAATGTTATTTCGTAGTTTAATAATAATAATAAATAAGGTCACACATAATTACATTATGCGTATAAATTATTACATTTAATATATTATTATTTTTTTAAACACAAATAGAACAATTACAATTATTTTTTTACGTTCCACAGGTAAATGCATAAAAATAAATCGCACAAAAAAGGACTAGACACACGTATAAAAATAAAGGATACGTTCCATAAAACTATATCAATGAGTTACAATATACCGCATAAAAAGGGTTTATAATCGCAATAATTTAGCATAAAACTAAATCAATGAGTTACAATATACCGAAAATCGCAATCACAAATCACAATATATCAAAACCGCATATTAAATTTCAGAAAAATAATTAGTCTTACTATATTCTTTTCTGAAATGTTTATTCATAATTTTATAAAAACGTTAACAATCATAGACAAGTTTATTAAATTTCAGAAAAATATAATCTTAACATATTCATTCTAAATTTCTACGGAAAAATTTTACAAAAAAAATACGGCCAATTTGTGTCAAAACGTGTCAAAATGGCTTAAAATAGTTATTTACAAAAAATGCTTCTTGAAATATAAACCGCATAACTTCAAAACCTCATAAAAAGAGTACGCATAAAAAGAGACCGAGTGTATTTTATAATGAAACCTACTCAAATTCTTCTTCAAGAGTTGAAAATTATGCTTTTTTATTTAAGTTCAATAGTTCAACAAATTGTTATCACTCATTCACAATAACAAACTTGTATAATATGTTTAACTCGTTTCAATTTCATAAATAAATTTTAAATAAAATAGTAGTATAAAAAAAGTCATTCATGGAATAGTAAATGTGTTACTAATTTAAATTATTATTCGATACATGACATCGAACATTTGAATTCTACAGAGTTCAACGATCCTGATGATTTAATTATTTTTTATTAGTTTTCAATTTATACATTTGACATTTGCGTTTCTTAAGAGGTTTACCTTCAAACTGATCAATGTGTAAATTGTTAATGTACATTCAATATTTTATTATATTGATATCTTGTATTGATACTTTAGCTAGTTATTAGTGATAAATAAACATAATAAATATTTGTTGTATCAGTAGATATTATTTTTTTTGTGTGTGATTGATTTGCAGATAGGTCGAGCTTCGTATTCATTCTTCGCAGTGTTGAAGAACCAAAATCAGAATCCTTAGATCGTACGTGAGGAGAATGGTGAAACGCACCCACACATCACCATCATTCACAGTGCAGAAGATCAAGATATGAAATTTTTATAAATACTCGTCAATCACAATTCGGACATAATAAAATCCTTTACCTGGCTCAACCATTATTCTCGACAACGGTTTCTGACCCCCCCCTTCGATACAGTTTTCCTTCACGAAAGCAAAATAAAAGAAAAAGTGAAAGGGTGTGTGGGAATGGCGAACTTTTTCGTCGTGCATATGGCGTGTGCATGTGTGATCCTGGAATGCAAAGCAAAATAGACGCGCACCGTTTCGCTGGAGTCTAGATTATTGTTGCCTAGGTCACGGGCGAATCCTTAGAAACCGACATATGCTAAACGCATTGTTGTTATCTGCATTTAAAAATGCTCAGTGGAAAATGCGGAAGACCGTGCGCGCACACACACACGGCCTCTCGCGATCCACCTGTTGTCGTCGCATTACGTAAGTGTAAACTCGTCCGCGCAACTGCCGCTTCAAACATATCATATTTTCGTTTTTTTTTTTCTTCTCCCCTCCGGGAACGTAAATTATTGACGTAATCCGCTAATCTAGCGGGTGAATGCTATGAAAGTAAGCCGCTCCAAAGGAATTTCCTTCTAGCGATCCAAAGAAAACTACGTTTTCATTATACTTTTCGTATACGATTGTATGTTTCAACAATCACATATAATTCTGAAATATGCTTAAGCTTTTCATACTATTAACTAGATATATCACACAACATAAATTAATTACTCTTAAATTATAATTATTATTTTTATAAATCGAATCCCAACAAAGAAAAGTCCAACAGGATATATTTCCTTATAATCTTGTATCTTCACAAGTCGTTGTAATTAGTTGAAAACTATTGTATAATTAACAAAGTTAACTTAGTTTCTTATTTATCATAGTTATTCCTAAACTTTGTCAAAATTTATAAAAAAATGTAATGGTTTTGTAGAATCGTTCTTGATTCAAATTAAATTTTCGTACCATACATTATTATAGTGAATAAAGTGTTAATTTGTCATTATTATTTCTTGATATATTTCTGCATTTAATATACAAATTCAAGTAATACTGACAGCTTCAGAAATTTAAGAATAACAATGATTATTTAGAACGTAAATTAAAAAAAATGTTTACGAGAAATATGTAAATAATGTAATGCAATTAATTTCTAAAATAATAGTATTTAAAATATAATTAATCAAATGTTCACACACAAACTAATGAAAAGATTTTTACAGTTTTTAGGTAGCTGATTCGAGATTATTATAGTATTTGGTGATTTGAATAATTAATCAATTTTATAATTTGTTGGATATATATAATTATATAAGAATATTTATCGAAATAATTATATACAAAAGAGGAAATAAATGCTAATTAGGAACTGGACAAAGCTCTAGGCTATTGTATTCGAAAGAATATAGGTTTTTTTTTATTAATATAAAATAAAAGTAACACTAACTATAATAAACTGTATATATTTGGAAAAATGATTTATGATATTGGCATTTAAATTACATTACGTTAGATGTTCAAAGTATCAATTTTTAACTCAAAGATAAGTTTGGTTTTGAAATTAAATTTGAAGTAATTAATTTAAAATTTTTTACTTGTTTTGTACAGATTTATTTGAAGTAATCTATGTAATATAGTGGTCCATTATCCAAGCTTTACCTGTTACTTATTTGTACTCAGATACAACTATATTAGTTTAGTTGTCAGCAAAATGGTTTGGCAGATTATGCGGTTTGAAGCGTTTAAGTCTTCGACGATCGTCGTATATGTTTGTTAACTCTGCCAAACAAGGTGGTTTCCAGACGGTAGTGGTAATTCGTGCTGGCTATACTTAGTTCTTCTTTAACAAGGTTGATGATAGATTTCGATGGAATTTTTAAACTATTCAAATCACTTTCAAAAACATTCCACTGTAACTTATTTAACTTATTTAATTTAAAATAAAATATGAATAGTTTTTACTGATATTCGATTGTAAACAGTCGTTTCATTGATCTGTGCTAATCAAATCATCAATCTTGCTAATCGTGTCTTATTCGAGTATTTTTTTAGCGAAGACGTTATAGGATGTACAAAATATCGATAGCGTTACGTAACAATTATGTCACATGACGTCTATATATTTTGAATCTAGCGTGTAATAAAAATTAAGTGTAGGTTGTATAACGCCCGTAGCGCCAATGGAATACCAATTGAATGTAATAAAGTTAAAAAAATAATCGGTGAAACGGTGGGCAGGTCTCAAAACTCGGTGGGTAATAATAATGGCCAAAAATTCCTTTCGGTCAAGTTCACTGGCCTCAGTGACAAACTCGGACGTGTCTCCAAAAAGTTGAAAGGAAATCCACAAACACGCACACAAGATATCTTGTCTCATTCTCTCTATCTCCGTGTCTCACTCTTCCTCTTACAGTGAGCGCACCCAAAACCCAATGGTTTCTGCCTTTTTTTTTCCATCCATCCTACACGCCCAGGACGCAACCGGCCTTTCCATTAATCATACATGATTTATCGAACGCAAGAAATTGAAAATGCTAACCGAGGTGTTCGAGTACTCGACGCTTCGTTATTATCGTACATCGGCGAAGTAAGTAGTAAAAGTATTCGAATAGTGTTAAAATTGAAATCGATTGCGCAATGTTTGCTAAATAATCTGGCTGGACAATGGCTGGTCGTCAAACACGGTTTGGTCCGAGTGGGCAAACATCGGTGAGGCGAGCTGACGAAACGCAAATATTGCGTAAAAAGGACGTATGGATTGTTGGGTGTTTGTGTGCGCGCGTACATGTTCAGACGTATAATGTATGCTTGCGTTTGTAGATGTGTGTGACCGCTATACCGTTATTCCCAATAAAACAACAGACGAAAAAGAATCGAATCTCATGGAAGTGTGAACAGAAACATCAAATTTTATACCAAAGAAGACCAGAACCGTAACCACATATATGTAAAATGATAAACATTTCAATTTTATTGAATTATTACAGATTAAATCATTTACAGTAAATCCAATACCAATTTGTTTTCTTTATATAAAAGAAATAAATTGAATCATCATTAATTGTTGAATCATAATAAAATATGTTTAATGTGTTAAAAAATATAAATGAGTACACAATTTTCAGTTTTATCATCTTTTCAGTAAAATTTTGCTAATTCAAAATGAGATTAATAATTTTTTTTTTGATATTTTTTATATTGAGAAGTTTCTAACTCCAAAGTAAATTGATCAATGATTTAGAGAAACCCGCATCTCTTATTGCAAATGATAAATTCTCATCTAAGAAATGTTTACATGCAATACGAAGAAATTTATGAATCTATGTAAAAATAAAATTAATTACAGTATAAAATGTTTCGAATATATTTTAATTTTTGTTTACTTATTGAAATTTAATTCGTTAAGATAATTATCAATGCTTATTATAATTTAATTTTAATATCATGTTATATTTAATGTTAACAATCGTGATTATGAATATTCTTTAATAATCGACAAAATGTATTTGCATTATATGCAAATTCATCCTAATTTCATAAGAATTATTGTAAAACATGTAAATTTAATTGCATTTTCATATATGCTTTTTTTACGCACATGCAATTGCATTGTGTAATTGAAAATGCTAATGAAATTACGTTGTTTTAAAGCAAAACAGGACATCCTTGCATGATATTATATCGAAATGCTGATGATAATAGTAATCTTCACAATACGAATTCCAAAACATTTACGTTGATCAGTTTTGCATGAATAATCGAAACAAATTCGATTTACATGAATTCCGTTTATAACTATAATTTTATACCTTCCGTTGTTTCTGAAGCGGCATTCTTGAATCTCGAATATTTTTGATAAACTCATTCATATTTGTTTCATAAATATTAATGTTCATATAGTTTTCATTAATTTTAATATGATTATATAATTTGTAACTAGCAGAAACGATGAGAATTTGGATTTTTTTACAATTTCATCTTGTGACTGTCTCAATATAGATCATGATATAAAAATTAAATTTTTGGTGGTAATGAGGATATTTACCAATTAAAATATTATATATTTTTATACGTCCAAAGTTGTAAAGGATTTCAAAATTGTGCAAAAAATTTTGATGCTTTTGATAATTATGCCAAAATTTTTGTCAATTTCGGCTTTATAATCAATAACGATTTGTATATATTGACACACTACTAGATGCGGATGTTTCATCATTAATTTCAACTAAATCAAAAAGTTCTGATGTTGGTTGATGTTGAAAAAAAAAATCATATTTATAAGATTTGATTGTCTGTTGTAATTTTTTATATATTTTTAACATTCTCATTGTAATATTAAAACAAAATATTCAAATAGTTATAAAATATATTATGAATAAAGTACAAATGAAAAATTATAGAAAATTATACCAAAATGTCTTGTTTATAAAATAAATTATAACAATTTAGTAATCTAATTACAGACGTAAATTAACAGTTATTGCAGAGTTATTTATTGAGTAGTAAATATATTTGCGGCTAACGAGTTTTCAAATGTAACTTGTGTAATTTCACTGGATAATAGGTTACATACAAATAACAAAACAAACATACAAAAACACTGAGTGAATAGAGAGCATTTCCTCTGGTCTGCACCCAGCAGTCATACAATTAAACGAGGCATTCCAAATATTCAGATATTATCACGAAATAATTATTAATGCATATCAGCTCTATTCATGAATCGCGTGCAATCAGTTCGGAATTCCTGTATGTAATCTGCAACGACTATAAATTTAATTGATTTCATTATATTTTATAACACACCTAATAATATGCTGTCCCTTCCCCGGGATTTTAACATCGTTAAACGCAAATTTATTGATACAAATTAGAACGTTTGCATTAAGATTTGCAAAATGATTATATATTTGAAAATGTACAAACAATTAAATTATAGCAACATTCTACTATACAGTTTATAATAATTCTAA